CATTTAATCTGTGGTGTTTTCTTACTGAGGGGTCAAACTGAAGTGACTTTCGCCTTATACTTTCATCTCATTTTCTGCTCTTGCTCTCCATGTGGGCTGCAAGGTTCAGGAGAGCATCCATGTGTTCTCTCTGAGGAAATAAGCATTTGAACCAGAAGAGAAAGGTCTATCCCTGTCTTAAAATAAATAAATCCTAAGTGCTGTAGAGCAAATGCAGTCAGACTGAGGGACAGGAAGGTTGTGTGTGCTGGAGCTCAGTGCAGCCAGGCCGGCTTGGAGAGGGATTGATGGACAGGGTGGCATCCTGCCTGCTGATGTGGAGACAGATCCAGCTGGAAACAGCAGTTTTTCTTACATAGCAAGAAGATCTATAAATCTTTAATACAAGATTCTAGTGTGTAAGTTTTGTGAATGGATGGTACCACAAATCCTGGCAGCAGCTGGACCTCACTTACAGGCTGGGTGCCTCTGGGTGTTGCTCAGGGCACAGCAGGAAGAGTTTTCTGCCAGGTGCTGAGTGGAAACAGTTAAACCCACATACAAATATTCCACTATGGAACTGACCCAGACTTAGGGGAGCCCCAGTTAGAAAAGAGCATGATTCTTGTACTGATAATTGAAGAGTTTATGGGATGATGGAGCAAAGTGGGCTTTGACTGGGGGAATGAAACTGCAGGGAAAGGTTTAAAATTGCTTCCTCTCAGATTTGCAGTGGATAATGTCTGTCTGTTGGTAATGAAGCCATCACTGAGCTGCAGGAATCAGGATGGGAAGAATGGCAGTGGGAGTGACACTGCTGCTCAAGTGCCACAGGATTGAGCTGAGCTTTAGGGAGTAGGAAACTACTCCAGGCTGTGGCTGCTCATTGTCCTCCGCAGGCCATTTGTTCAGCAGAGCTAAAAATATTCCTTGTGGAGCTGGGCTCTGGGTCCCTGTCCCTCCCCATCTCCTCCTGTGCCAAGTGAAGCCCGGGAGTGTCTCTGATCTGTGATCTTGCAGTGCTGGTGCCACTGACGGAGGGTTCAGATCTCTGGCTCACTGGAAATTAAATCAGTTCAGTAGTCTCCAATCATTTCTTTAGCATGACATTTCTTCTTGCTTTGATAATCAGAAAAAGATCAGCAGCTCTGTGCAGAGGCTGAAATCTCACCAGGCATCTCATCCTACCCAGCAGAGCGAGGGAGAACAGATCAGGATGGGAAAAGAGTAGGGATGAGACCAGATTTTCCATTCTGAGAGAAATTCCAGATTCTTCATGATGCTTTTCATTGTGAATGTTTCTGTAAAAAGCAGTATCAAAAAATACTTCGATTTTTTTTTCAAGAGGAACTTGTTTTTAAGTTGCTGGTCAATTTTTCCTTTTAAAGATCCTGAAACTATTTAATGGCATTATTGAAATCTTCACTTGATATTTGAATTTGATTTTTTTATTTTAAAGAATTTTGTCACAGCCAGGTTTGTAGTTGAAGGTCTGAATCTGGGAAATCACTTTGTGCTTAACTTCACCTCTTATGTCCCACTGAAGTGAATGGGATTTAAGCCTGTGCTTCTGTAAATCAGGACAATTAATAATTATGGAAATGAAAAGTAATTATTGAATTAGCAAATGAGAGGCTGATCAAAAATTTATTTGTGCAGCAGTTTATGGAAATCATTAAAAACACGAAGAAGTCATTTTTGCCATATTGATGTTGAGTGCCTGAAACCCCAGAAATTATGAGCTTTGATATAAAATACAGTTAACAACACAAGACCAACTTGACAGGCACTTACTTGTGTGTCTGATATTTTATTAGCTCTAAATTTAAAAAGAATCCTTTTGCTAAACCTTTCTGGTGCTTGAGAATTTGCAGGAAAGGGGAGCAAGGTATACAGTTTTTATATTGGTAAGTGATATTATATGGTTTCCAGTTATATTGGAAACCTTTGTGGTACTTTGGATCTGGGATGAGGCTGCTGCTGTTGCTGCTGCTTTGGCTGTGGCTCTCTGGGAGTCTGGCTGGGAGAATCCAGACTATGCTTTCCTGTGCTGGAGATCTAAGGGGAAGCATTAAATACTGTCCAGTTCCTTCCTCGATTGCTGCAGTGATTCCTTCCTGTAAAGTTAATTGCATCCCATGTAAATGTGGCTTAAAAATTCATCACTCAGGCTCCAAATCTGCAAAAAACTTGGCTTAATACAATTTGAAGTGCAGCCTAAAGCATGGGAGCTTTTTGAAATAAGTTATGCCAGGCTTAAAGTTGTAGAATATTGGTAAATACTCCCCTTTAGGGTGTTGGAATAACATTCTGCTGGGTGGAAATGTGTGTTACTGCTCCTGAGGTGCTGCTCTGTGCCAGCACAGCCTGTGCACGGCCACTCTGAGTGAGACAGGAATGGGCAGCCCCGTTCCCAGAAGGTGGAGGGGCAGCTGCTGAGCTCTTCTGAGAGAACTGACAGGACCTGAGGAACAGCTGGAGCTGTGCCAGGGGAGGTTTAAGTTGGATTTAGAGAAAGATTTTTCCCCCAGAGGGTGCTGGCACTGCCCAGGCTCCCCAGGGAATGGGCACAGCCCCAAGGCTGCCAGAGCTCCAGGAGCCTTTGGACAGCGCTGCCAGGGATGCCCAGGGTGGGATTGTTGGGGGGTCTGGGCAGGGACAGCAGTGGAATGATGATCCTGTGGGTCCAACTCAGGATATTCTATGATTCCATGAAGTAAACTATGATCCTATTGCACAAGAGCCTGATGTCCACAGTCCTAGGCTGAGTGACCTGGGAATGGTGATGAGGTTCTGGCCTCCAGGCACCTACAGCATCCCTCTCCTGGAGCCTGGGCTGCTGGCAGGGACAGCTCAGGGATGGCTCAGGGATGGGACAGCTCAGGGAGAGCTCAGGGAGAGCTCAGGGATGGCTCAGGTATGGGAGAGCTCAGGGAGAGCTCAGGGATGGCTCAGGGAGAGCTCAGGGATGGCTCAGGTATGGGAGAGCTCAGGGAGAGCTCTGCTGGTTGCTTAGCAGCTGCGAGCTGCAGTTTGGAGGTGCAGGAGCTGAGGATCCCGGTTCCCTGCCCGCGCTCCGGCTCTGCTGCCTGCCCTTGCTCCAGGAGCCTCCCAGAGACACTGCTGCTGGTGTGGGGTAAGCTGTCCCTGCTCATCCATCACCTTTTCCTGCTGCTGTCAGCCCTGTGACCGGGATGGTGTGGGATCCCGCACACCCTGGCACAGCAGGGGCTAACCCAGCTCTGCCTCCTGGCTGCTTTTAACTCTTACTGTCCTCATTCATGGCAACCAGGCTGCAAAGCTCCAGGCCAGCCTTTAAAATGAAATAGAATGGAATTAGTGACAGGTTCAGGAACGTTTGACAGATCATTTTGTTGTTTGGGTGGTCACAGAGGAATGAAATGCCCGCTTTGGTGGCAGAAGCAGATCCAGGATCACAGGGATTTCTCAGGCTGCTGTTCCCTACGTTGGTGACTGAACCTTGAAGGTCACACTGGCAGCTCAGTGAGAGAGCAAGAATCTCTTAATTGTAAAAGATGGAGAAATGGGGAAGGCTGACAGCTCCCTGAACAGAATTGGCCTTGCACTCCTGGTTTTATTTTTCTCCTATAGACAGAAGTGAAATGACATAATGTGGAAATCCCAAATCATTTATCCTGTGTAGGTGCCTCTTTGTAGGATTGTGAAATACGGTGATTTCTCATGAACTGAAAGCAGAGTCTATGGACACAGTCACAGTGTGGAGTTGTCTTAAATCATTGGGACAGAATGTAGCTGGATTGGAGGGTTTATATCTGCAATTGCCTCGCAGGCTTTGGATATTAATGTAAAACTGATGCCTAGAACTTTGCTGATAAAGAAGTCAGCATAGAGGAATTATGACTGGGAATTCAGAGTAGGCCATGCCTTTTGTATCCCAGGGGAGAGGGCACCTGGCAGAGCCCTGCCAGCCAGCCACAGCAGGTCAGCATTTACAGATCTGTTCCCTCTTGTGTCCCCCTTACCCCATGCATCCCCTGTTTTCTGCTCCACTTTCAGGCATCCCTGTGTCACTTCCAGTCCCTGGCACTGCCTCTGTGTGCCCATGTAACCCAGAGCAATCCCATCCCTTGATTCCTTCCACATCCCTGGCAGTGTCCAAGGCCAGCCTGGACAGGGCTTGGAGCAAACTGGGACAGGGGAAGGTGTCTGTGCCCATGGCAGGGGTGGGACCACTCTGGGATTCTGTGATTAATGACTCTTCATAAAGTGCTTTGACCTGTAAACTGCTGCATTATTACAACATTTTTTATTGACCATAATAGGCCATGGAGCATTTAAAAGTCATCATTAGATATTAAAAGCTTCACAAAGCAAACTGTTCTGTGCTGCCACAGTCCCTTCCTTGTCCCCTGGAGCAGTCTGTATCTTGTCTATATTTTAATTGGGGAAATGATATGCACTCAGGAATAAATCTGCAGCTAGAATTGTTCATCATGGATTGTTTTCTTAATTTAGCTGAAAGTTTGCCTGGGGCACCTGGCAGAAATTTTGCAAGCTTCAGTCCTGCCTTCAGATCTCTGGGTTTATATGATTCTATCTGCTTGGAATCTAATTTCATGCTGTTTATACAATCACTTGGTGATTTACATTTGTGCAAGGACACCTTGTGTAGGAAAATGCCACAAAATCCTTGTAAGACAGGTGGAAGTTAAAGCTCTGGATGTGTCTCATGCTGCTGGGCCAGATCCAAACCCATGGTTAAATAATTAAAACAGGACCACTAACGGCTGGTTTGAGCATGAATGGCTGCTGCAAATTAAAGCATGAAAATGTTACCTGCAAATTAAAACATTGAAAATGTTACCTGCAAATTAAACCATGAAAATGTTACCTGCAAATTAAACCATGAAAATATTGCTAGGGCACTTTGATCGCTTTCAGATGTTTCAAGGAGAAAGTGCTGTTTGTGCTCAGATTTGCCTCTCCTGCCCCTCTGTGCTGAGGAGCTGCTGACAGTGTGGCTGTGTTTGTGTGTGCAGGGCAGGAGCTGGATTGTGAAGAGGAGCTATGAGGATTTCCGGGTGCTGGACAAACACCTCCACCTGTGCATCTACGACCGCCGCTTCTCGCAGCTGGCAGAGCTGCCCCGCTCCGATGCCCTGAAGGACAGCCCCGAGGTAAGGGGCCCCTCTGGGCACCCAGGCACCACCCAGCCGTGGGATTTCTGCAAGGAGTGACCTCTGGGAGAGGTTTGTTGGATATCAGGGACAATTCCATGGTGGAAGGGGCTGTCAAGCATTGGAGGGGGCTGCCCGGGGCAGTGGTGGAGTCAATGTCCCTTGAGTGTTCAGAAGTGTCTGGATGTGGCACGTGGGGACATGGTTTAGTTGGTGGACTTAGAGGTCTTTTCCAGCCTCAGCAATTCCATGTATTTCTGGTACACAGAGTATTCTCAAAGAGTATTGTGTGTATATTCTAGTATTATATACTAGTATTATATTCTAGTACTATATTATAATACTAGAATATATAATTACTATATTACTATTACTAGATTACTATAATGCTATTACTATATTACTATTACTAGATTACTATAATTACTAGTAATATATAATACTAGTAATATACTAGGAATCAGGATACTTACTTCTAGTAGAGAGTAGTTTTAATGCAGCCTGGGCTACATTTGAAAATTGGCTACCACGAATAAAGTCAATGTTTTCCACCCCTAATTTCAGTGATCTAAAGGGAAACGTCATGCAAGTTCAGACAAATTAATTAAGCTCCTGAATCTGGAATGGTAGTTGAGTGTCAAGAAAGCTACTGTCCTGTGTTCCCTTAGATGTGAATTTGGTTTTGTCTTTGGAGACTTCATCAGTGATGTGGGTATTTTCTGGCTCAGCGTTAACAACTCAGCACTCCCAGGGAATCATGCTGTCTGAGGCTGCTGCACTGCAAGAAGAATCCCATTTGGAGTGCTAGGCTTCCATTTTAAACTGAGTATTCCTAAAGTGTTTTTTAAGAGCAGTTGCATTAGTGTGTTATTTAAATGGTCTTTAAAAAGCTCTTTTCCCTCAATGAGTGTTTTTTTTCCCTCAAAGAGATACTTCTCATTTCTTGGCTTGCTGTCTTCACCCAGAGTATGATGAGATGAAATTACCTCAGCTTCTCACTGTTGATAATTGAAAGATTTATTCATGTCCAGAAAAATCTCTTGGAAAGCAGCAGGTGAATCATGGCTGCATCGTTTTGGAGGATGTGGACACTGAAATTAGTATCTCCTGGAATTTTATGGGGTGTTTGCCATGGAATTTAAGGAACTGATCATGCAGCCCCATCACTCAGCAGAGAGACTGATTTAACACTTGCTTTGGTTTCACACAGGGTATTTCTGAGGAGGATTTAAAGTTTAAATTCAGCAGAAGCAGCAATATTCAGGACAATGAATTCCTGGTTTACTTTTAACTATATTTTAGGCATTCCTATCTCTTGCATCCTTACTTGTATCAATTTAACTGGACTTTAGAGCAAGAGCCTGAAAATCTGCATTCTGTCTGCAAACACAGAGGATGTGAAGATGCTGAACAGCTCTGCTGCTCTGCAGCTGTGGGGTGTCTCATCATATATTTTTTATTTTTAATTGGCCACGTTGGAACAGATGTTTGAGGAGAACAATGTTTTAAACAGTCCTACAGATTCTGAGCTACAATGCTGCTTTATTCCACTGTCACTGGGAGACTCTGGAAAGACCTCAGTGGCTTCTCTGTAATAAAAACCAGTTTACTGTTACAGAAGGGACATGGCAAAGTGTATTTTTAAACCCCTCTTCTACTGCTTGAAATGTTACTCTTTGGCCAGGGGGTCACTCTGAGGTACTGCATTCTTTAGGCTCTGCAGGCGTGTGGAAGTGGCACTCAGGGGTTCTTCACTGGGTGACATTCAGGGGTGTTCACTGGGGGACACTCAGGGGTGTTCACTGGTGGCACTCAGGGATTGTTCACTGGGGGACACTCGGGTGTTCACTGGTGGCACTCAGGGCCTGTTCACTGGGTTGTTCACTGGGGGACACTCAGGGATTGTTCACTGGGGGACACTCAGGGGCTCTTCACTGGTGGCACTCAGGGATTGTTCACTGGGGAACACTCAGGGGTGTTCACTGGTGGCACTCATGGGTGTTCACTGGTGGTTCTCAGGGGTTGTTCACTGGTGGCACTCAGGGGTTGTTCTCTGGTGGCACTCAGGGGTTGTTCACTGGGTGGTTCTCAGGGGTTCTTCACTGGGTGGTTCTCAGGTGTGTTTGGTGGCCCTAAGACATGAGTTGTTTGTGTGTGTGCCCACGATGAGGGCAAAGCTTTAAATTTCAGGTATCTTGACAAGGGAAGTTATGAAAATCTGCATGAATGTTACAAAATGATAATAATAATGTTATTACTTTCCCAGAGAGCTGCTTCTTTATCCTATCTTTTGGTGTAACGATTATAACCCTGTGTGTAGCTTGCTGTCCTTCGAACAACAGAAATGCGATTATTTGCAGAAGGGAACATATCTCTGTAACTCTTGCCTGTGGCAGTGGGTGATTTCTGGTCCTGCCTAAGCTTGCAGAAGGCTCTCCAAAGGCAGGTGCACTAACAGAACCACTGTGTGTGTGTTTGTGTCCCAGCTGGTCACCCAGATGCTGATGGCTTACCTGGCTCGGCTCTCCAACATCGCAGGCAACAAGATCAACTGTGGCCCTGCCCTCACATGGATGGAGGTACACCACAAACCTGGGGTATTCCTTGTTTCCTGACCTTGGAAACACAGCAGGCACACATCTGCTCTTTCCAGACCTGCTGGTGTCACTGAAATTCTATCCTGAAAGTTTTTTATTCTCCTATTACCAGCATGTAGAAGGTGTAGGACACACAGAATCAGAACCACTATTAAGAGTACAGAGTTTTTTCCCTTGTAACCTGGGTTTTGTCTCTCAGAAATGGATTGTCCTGCTGATATTCACAAACAGAGGAGGTGGCAGTTCCAGGGCTTCCTGGGAATGCCGGCTTCAGGGCTGGATCTCCCATGATGGGTTGCAGAAGGCTCACTTGTTTCAAAGCTCACTTATTCCTGCTCTCTTTTTTACTAAGGCAATGCTGCAACTGTGGCACGTTTCTAAAACTCAGCTGTCTCTGTTCTGGTGTTTCCCTGCTCTCTTGGTTTTCTAAATAATTTTTCCCTGTGGCAGCTCCAAAGCCAGTAAATACTCCATGCTCCTGTTGGCTCCCCTGCAGACAGAGGCAGCCTTGTGCCTGCAGTGGCACAGTTTGTGTGTTGTGAACTGCAGCTGCAGCTCTGCTTTCAGGTTTCATGGTCTTGTAGTCTTTAAACAATAGCCCTTAGTGGGGATGAGGGCAGGGGAGGCTGCAGGAGTGTCCAGCTGTCCCTGTTCAGACTGCCTGCAGACGTGTGGCTTTCCATCGCTGCACACCAGGAATGGAAACAGCTATTAATAGACTTGCAGCTCCTTTTTAAATGGATCTGATAAGGATTGAGTGTGTTTTCCTGCAATTTTCCCCACTGATATCCTTCTCACCCTGAAATCCTTTAGGATGAGAAAAATCTTGGAAAGCAGCAAAGGGAGGGAGGAATCTGTAGGGAGAAATAAGATGTAGCATTCAGAGCAACACAGCAGGCCTGGAGATCACAGCAAACCCAGTGCAGAGTAACCTTTGTGACTCACTAAGAATCCTACACAATTTTACACAGAAATCTGGAGTTTTGGAAGTATGCTGATGATTGCAAGGGAGGGTGCATGTTTTCTTTAAAAAAATAAATAAAAGGGTAGGAGAAAATAGAAAGCAACACTAGTTTTTGGATTGACAGCATTTTCTCCTTGCCTCAGTACCTTGAGCATTAATTCCACCTCGTAGAGGATTTTTGTAGCATGTCTGTATTGCCATGGAAAACCACCATGCTTTGGTGTTAAAGGGAGCTGCAGGGCCTCACTGTGTGTTACTGTTTGTACACAAAGCTGCACCAAGCCAGTGTTTCTCTCCTCTGGATAGGCACACCCGACCTTCTGGGGCCCCCAGTGAGCTGTTCTGGCTGTGCTGTGCCCTCTCTCCTGGGGCCCAGGGCTGGGCTGTCTCTCTCAATCAGCTTGAAGCCTTTGCACCACTAAAATGCTTCCTCACTTGTCCTCAGCTGCCTCACAGTGCCCTGTGCTCTTTGTTTCAGATTGATAACAAGGGGAATCACCTGCTGGTCCATGAGGAATCATCCATTAATGTCCCTGCTATTGCTGCTGCCCATGTCATTAAGAGATACATTGCTCAAGCAGCAGATGAACTGTCCTTTGAGGTAAATAAAGCACTTGCTTTCCTTGTTGTCAGCTCCAAATCAGTGTAATCTGTTTGTCTGTGTGCCCATCAGGAATATGTCCAGACACTTCCACAATGTTTTGTGAGGGGAAGCTTGGAAGATTGAGTTAAATATTCGATCTGCTACGAGTTGGATATGGGCAGATATTTTAAAGATTCAGTCATCTTTAAAATACAGCTTTACTTGGCATTAGTATCTTCTGATTAACCAGCTTCTCTGGGCTGTCCCTGAGTAGAGCCCACATGTTTTCTGTTCAGGATTGTCCCTGTGTGTGTGGACTCAAGTTTCATTTCTCCTTGCCCAGGTTGCCCACACCCTCTGAGCAAGTCCCTGTCCATAACCATTTTTAAGAGCTTCTGCTCCCTTGAGAAGTAAAGAACCAGACTGGCAAAGGATTGCTGCTTGAAGGGCAGGTGATGAGCTAAAACTGGCCTGAAAATCCAGCACAGGAGCTGCTGTGGAGTAAATCCCTGAATCTCAGGATGGTTTGACTTGAGAGGAACCCTAAAACCTGTCCCATTCCACCCCTTGCCATGGGCAGAGACACCTTCCAGTAGCCTAGGTTGCTCCACATCCCATCCAAGATCTCTAGATCAGACCCTGGAAGCTTTTGGTTGGTCTGTTTGACCCAAAAAGCAATGGTCTGTGCTCTGGTTGCCCTGTGCAACGCTGCTGTTTCTACAAAATGTGTGAAGGAAAACAGTGCCCTGAGGAGCTTTGTGATCACATCCTTGGTGTGCAGCACAGGAAGGAAAAATAACAGTGATAGTCTGGTGCTGCCAGGGCTTTGTCCTTGTTCAAATCAAGGCAAGGATTGGTATACCCCAAAGAACTGTGTGGTCAGAGGGATGTGTGGGCATGGCAGCTCTGAGCTGGACTCCGAGCAGCACAGGATTCAATCTGCTTGTCAGCTTATAAGAGCACTGAAATTACACTCCCTGCTTGTAAATCTTGCTCTGTGCAGAAGGGAAACTGAGGCACATGTAGTTTCCAAGGGTGTGCAGTGAGACACCACAGCAGGACTGGCACAGAACAGGGTCAGGAGTTGGGGTTTATGATCCTGAGTCCTGTTCCCTAACCCAAATTATCTCTGTGTTTATTATTCTAAATTTCTAGTAGGCAGTTGCACAAGCAGCTGTCTGGGGTTTGCTCCCCAGTTCTGAGAAGCATCCTCAGTGTCTCTGCTCCTGTGGTGGCAGCAGTTTCCTTCATGGACATTTGCTTTGCTCTTGATTCACTATTCCCTGGAGGAACTAATTTCCCCACATCTCAGTCATCCCTGTCTGCAAACTAGGGATGTGTTGCCTTTTCTGTAAATCACTTTGAGATCCATCAGTGTAAAATATCTGGTGAAAGCTGGGCATTACTGGCATGAATTTTTGCCCACCTACCTGGAGTACCTGCAGTATTTATTTAGTTTCTTCCCTTTCTCATTTTCTGTAATAGAGGCCACACAGAGCTTGATTCAAACCAAGCCAGATTTAGTATTGATGATACTGATTTCCTTTTGAACTACTGCAGTACTACATTTTTATGGGAATGAGCAAAGCCTCAGAAAGCCTGTCTGGTGCCCTTGGCCATTTTCCATCCTGTTGCTGTAGCACCACTTCTCCTGTGTTCACTTCCTAACCCTGGGCAGCTCACCTGGGGCAGTTTGGGAGCTGCAAAGGCAGCTCTTCACTCTGCTGTGAGAGGGAGCCAGGAGACACATGCCAGTGCCTACAGACTCGTGGCTAGGGCAGTAAAAATCAGCTCAGCTACTGGAGCAGATTTTCCCAAGTGCTCGACACCATCACTGCAGTTTAACCAGAAGCCTCTGTAGCCCTTCCCAGGAGACAGCTGCTCTTCAGGCCCTTTCCTTAGGAGCAGCTGTATCCTGTGTGCTGGGCAGTGCAGGAACTCTTCCACCCCACAGCTCTGCTCTGCAAAGGCAGATGTGCAGCTGCTCCAGAGCTGTGCAGGTTTTTGCAGTGCTGAGACTGTGGTTATTTGAGCTGTGCTCTCCTCCTGGCTGTGACTGATGCTGTCAACCTTTTGCAGGTGGGGGACATTGTGTCTGTCATCGACATGCCACCAAAGGAGCTGACCTCGTGGTGGAGAGGAAAACATGGGTTCCAGGTAGGCACCAGCCCAGCCATGGCAGTGGGGCTGGAACAAAAGCAGGAACCTCAGCAGGAACCTCAGAGCTGTGTTCCTGGAGCTGCTGTGCCTGGTCAGGGTGGCTCAGGGGACAAGCAGGGTGTCCCTGCCTTGGTGTCAGATGGCTCCCCTTCTCTCTGGGCTGGGGCTGGAGCACACACAGGGTGTCCACTGGAAGTTTCCTTCCTCCCTCACCACAGGAAGGAGGGCTGGCCATGGCCTGTGATGGACAGCTGGCCTGATGGCAGTGGAAGCTTGTGCTGCACCCCCTCCAAGGCAGCTGACACTGTTACTCACATCATCCCCTTCCTTCCAGTAGCTGAAACCAGCTCAGGCAGAACAGAGAGGATTTGGAGAATTCCAGCTGAGGAAACAGTGCTGCTGACTTAGACAAGCCACCCATCCGTGCCTGTGTTCACTGTGTGCTGTCAGTGGTGCTGGTCCCTGTAAACATCACAGCACAGAGATGGAGACTGAATTTTCAAAAGGTCCTAAGCATGCCTGGGGATTAGGTACCAAACCTTGTGTGTTGAAATGGCACTGTCCTTCCAAGGAGCTTTTAATCCTTTGGATTTTGCCGCTAGGAAATGTAAAAGCTTTAAAAGTCTCTTTTAACCAAGCAAACCCCAGAGCCATTGGGGATGGGGGCTGACTTGTGCTGTCTCACATTTCAGCTGCTTCCAGCCACAGGGATTTCCATCTGCAGCTGCTGTCTGTGAGTGGGTGGGATGAGGAGTTTGCTCTGCAGAGGCTCAGGATTGGCCAGACACTTCTGTAATTTAGCATGGAAAGTCTTCTCAAGGCTCTTCAGGTTTTCCCTGACAGCCCTTTCTGTGCCAGGCCAGGCTGTGGCCCTGCTGTTGTCAATGCCCAGCAGTTGGATCTCCCAGTCCCAGCTGGATGCAGTGTAGTACACCACTGGATGTGGATGGTGTGCTTACACCATCCTAGTGCTGTCTGCTCAGCCAGGGCATTGAGACACAGCTTGTGTTGGTTTTGTGTCAGGTGTGGGAGTTCAGGTGACATCTCCTTTGTAAAGTCAGAGCAGCATGGACAGAGTACCTGCTCTGAAGTTTCATTTGTTTCTAGAGTCAACACACTGGTACTTCTTGAACAAACTGCTGCTTCTGAACTGTGCTGTGCCTTTGCTGGACTTGTGTTCTAATCTTAGAAGCCTCAAAGCTGAATATGCTGTGCTGTCATAGAATCAGAGAATGGCTTGGGGTGGAAGGGACCTCAAACAGTTCCAACCCCCAATCAATTAAATGCTGTAATACTGCTTGGAATGATCAGCCTATGCCATGATTAACTTCCAAGTGAATCAATGAAGCAAAACAAATCTACTCTGTGGTCTGTGCCTGAGTGTGGGCACTTTGCACAGGGCTTGGAAGCCCTGTGTGGGATGTAGATCCCATCCATTATTGAGGCTGGCTGACACTGGGGCCAAGTCTGGAGAACAGCACTGCTGATGGAAGGCAGCCCTTGTGCAGTTTGTCACAGCTTTGTGCCTCTCTGATCACAGCGATCCCGTTGTGTTTTCCCAGCATAAAAACATGGTGATGAGCAAACTGCCAGAAAAGGGGGTTTTCTGTGTCCCTGCACAGTCAGGCTCCTGACACAACACATATGAGCAGCTGCAGAAATTCAGCACTGTATTCTGGCTTAACAGAAAATTAGGGGTGGAATAATCTTGTGTCCTTTATGGCAGGCAGGAGTGGTCACAGTGTGAGCAGGTGACAGCCAAACACACCATGGAGATGCAGCTCTGTGTTCCTACAGCTCCAGGAGCTGGGTTTGCTTTTGAGTCTTAACCTGTGTGTCGAGTTTAAGGCTCATGAGCTCTAAATGTACTGAAAATGTACATTTGCTGATGGAATGAAGTCTTTGGATGATACAAGCAGTAAGAATTCAGGGAAAGGGAATTTATCTCTGGTGTTGCTACACCAGACCTAGAGATGAGTTACAGGCAGAAGTGTCCTTGATGGATGCTCAAAAAGAGTGTGTAGGTGAAGAATGTTGTTACAGCAAGAGGTGTAGGCACAGATGAAGCTGTGCAGCCTCTAAAGCATTTGTTAGAGGCAAATAGTTCTGTTCTGTTTAGGAACATTGCAGTGATAGCAATCTGTTGATCCAGTCATTTGAATTAATAAATCAACAGAGCCCCTCTTGCCAGATAATTGTGATTCTGAGAGCAGATAAAAGGAGGAGGTCCTGCCACCAAATGTTTGGACAGCTTGTCCTGTTATTTCTTGGGTTTTTGCTTTATGTTAGGGAGCAGCAGGGTTTTATCAACCAACCACAGCTTCCATTAGAAATCATGTCTTGATAGGAGGAAAGCAAGAACAGGGGAAAAAATTTCTCGTTTTGCTGAAAGGGGAAAAAATACTTCTTGACTTAAAGGAACTCCCCTGGCTTTGTGCATTTGAAGCAGTTGGGAGTGAAGTGCCTTCACTCCTGCCTGTCCTGCATCCCTTGGGATAATGGGAGGGCTGTGGTGAGGAACTGGAGGCAGCTCTGCAGATGGGAAGCAAAAACTGTCTCTGACAGGCTGCAAGCACCTGCAGCTTGAATTCAGCATGGAAGTCAGAGTGTTCCTGCCAGCCAGAGCTGTCCTTCAGGGATGACTCACTGGGTTTGTATCCATCACACTTCCCTGGCACAGTGCCTGTGCTCTCTGCATACCTGAGCTCACGACTGCATTGCAACACACCTAATCCTGTGTGAACAAAACAACCCACGAGGCTTCTTAGCATTTGCTCTGCTTGAAGTGAAATGATTTTTAAGACATTTTTCTTCAAGCTTTTTTCTCTTCCAATGCCCTCAGTGTGAGTCAGTGCTTTCTCTGTAAGATTGTTACCTAAATTACAGCCACCTCCACATTAACAGCCTTCAGCCCTCTTTGTTCTGCTCTGCTTTTGCTTCATGCTTTGTCTTTTCAATCAGCTCTGTGTCAGGGAGCTGAGTCACTGGGGACAGGCCCTTCTTTGATGCATAACTGCCCTTGGTTGTCCTGAATTATTCTGGTTTTTGGGAATAGTTTGCTGAGGTGGAGAGCTGCCCCACAGCCTGCACTGCTGGAGAGGTGACAAAACCAGGGTGTGCAGCCAGGGGGGACTGGACTGATTTTAATCACACTGTGATTGCAGCAGCTTCAGCTGGTTGTGAGACTGCAGGTCCCAGTTCCACAGAAGTCCAGGATGGTTTGGGTTGGAAGGGAACCTTGGGGATCATCCAGTCCCACCCCTCCCATGGGCAGGGACACCTTCCATTGTCCAAGTCCCATCCAGCCTGGCCTTGGACACTGCCGGGGGTCCAGGGGCAGCCACAGCTGCTCTGTGCCAGGGCCTCCCCACCCTCTCAGGGAAGAAGTTATTCCCAATATCCAATGTAAATCCCATCCATCCCTACCATCTGGCAGTGGGAAGCCATTCCCTGTGTCCTGTCCTTGTCCAAAGTCCCTTTCCAGCTTTGGTTTCCTGCTGGCACACCAGCCAGGAATGGATAATCAACACGTACCATCCCAAACAGACATTTCTTTTTGTGAATAAAAGAAACCAAAATAATTTTATGGCCCAGGTGTTCAACTGTCTGTAACAGGAGCTCAGGATAAGAGGAGTAGTAATCCTGTTCTTCCTGTTAGTAGTGCCCTAAAGTGCAAGAGCATCTCAGCAGGGGCTCCTTTGGGAATGAGGTGAGGCTGTCCTGCTCTCTGTGCAGTCACTTGGCAAAGACTCAGTGAAAACTCTCCTCAGGAAGGCCAAATAGGCCATAAAAAGTTGCAGTTTCCCTGTCAGGTTTTGCTAGACTGTCATCAGATTTAAAAGGAAAAGAGAAAACTTTTTGACTAAAATTGAATCCACACTGTAGATTATGTCAGACCCAAAAAAGCAATCTAAATGTCTCATTTGCCATTTAAGTTGCAGGTACTTCCTCATTTGTTTGAATTCCCTCCCCATACTGAAAATTACCATTTTACTCTGACTTTTCCCCTTAAAGCCTCTGTGTCCCCCAGTTTTAGCAGTCCCTGTCACAGAAGTGAAAAGATAAAGCTGTAGTAGGTGGTGCAGAACAGTTCTCATGCACTAGCAGCCTTTACCTTCCTCATCTGCTGAAGGTCTGTGGTGATATATTTAACCTTTAGATGACCTTGCATTTATCTAAATATATACTACCCTGGGTATTAATTTTCCTGCATTCCCAAATCCGGTAATCCTGGCTCAAGCTCTGGTAGTGCCTTGCTACATCTGTTGAGATTAACTCTTGGACTAAACTCATTTATTTATATAAAATCATGGAAAACTTCCCATAGGAGGAGAAGTATCATCTTTTAAGTGGGTGGGAATGAGGCACAAGTTGAGGATTATAACCCCAAAAAAGATCTCCTGGGGATCTTGCAAGAAGTTAGAATAAGTCAATGTGAAAATGTGAATAATTTCTAGCAGTGAGTTAACATGAGGGAGCCAGCACAATTCTTTGCCCCTAAAAATCCATTGTAATTATTGGTGTGAACATGACAAAAGTGATACATGGAGAGCAGGTAGAATGTTTGATTTGGGAAGGTTCTGGGATATCTGGAAGCGGTGACATCACCATCCTTTCATTTCTGAATTCCTGGTTAGTGTGTTGTACAGTGCATCCAGAAACAGGAGAAATACTGTGTTAACAGTCAAAGGCAAATGAGTTTTGATTTCATGTCCAGCATTTGTTTAAATGTTCAATGGTGTGGGATCTGGGTTGGGTTTAGATCCAGATTTGGGTTGGTTTTAGATCCAGAATAATAGAAGGCTGGGGTCCCAGGACTTCAGGTTTCTTTACACAGACAATGTGGGCAGTTTCTGAAAATGGAAGAAACTCCATCACTCCAGCTGTGGAGTTTCCCAGATGATGTCTGGTTGGTGGGCTGAGACTTTCCCTGGATCTGTGCATTTTTCTTAATTTAAAAATTGCCTCCTGTATCTCTCACATGGGCAGTGTTCAGCAGAGACTCTCAGCCACAGTGAAGTGTTAAAGTTCAGTCTGGGGAAGAGAAGAGAAGGTTGTGTGGAGACCTCAGGGCACCTTCCAGTGTCTGGGTGGGCTACAAGGAAGGTAGGGAGGGACTTTGCATCAGGAACTGATGTGACTGGACATGGGAGAATGGTTCAAAATGAAAAGAGGGAAATTTAGGTTGGATATAAGGAGGAAATTCCTCCCTGTGAGAGTGGCAAGGCCCTGGCACAGGGTGCCCAGAGCAGCTGTGGCTGCCCCTGGATCCCTGACAGTGTTGGCCAGGTTGGACATTGGAGCTTGGAGTAACCTGGGACAGTGGAAGGTGTCCCTGCCCTTGGCAAGGAACTTTAGGGATGATCCCTAAGGTCCCTTCCAACACAACCCATCCTGGGATTCCATGATATAAAACCATGAAATGTATTTTGTTTAAACATCAGCACTTCAATGTCCATGCTACTCATCCTGTTGGCATCTCCCAGCAGAGCAGGTCCCTGAGCCCTGAGCTGCCAGAGGAGGGGCCTCTCTGTGATGCTGCTGTTCATGATCCTTTTCTTGTGTTAATTGGCACATTTCTGTCTATGAACTGCACAAAAATCCCCACTGTGTTCCATAACTCCAGGATACCATGTCCTTGCAGACCTGGCAGATCCACTGAGGCAGTGGCTGGTGCAGCCATGCCTGGTGCTGGATTTTGGGTGGGTTCTGTGAGTCTCCTGTGATGCCCAGGACAGTCCCAGTTACAGGAACCCCAGCTCAGAGCCCGAGGGCTGCTTCTGCAGGCTCTGCCCTGAGCTCAGAGTCCTGACAACAATTTATTTTAAAAATAATTTCACAAATTTCACATTGTGTGCTGGGCGACAGCTTGTTCTTGTGCTTGGGCAGGGCATTGCCCTGCTGGATGTTGGTGTGTGGGAAGGGGAAGGTGTGGGCTCTGGTAACTCTTGCTTCCTTTGGGGAATTTGGAATAACTTCAGTCTGGACACCCCACACATGACACTGCCACCAAACTGGTGGGAGGTTGATGGGTGAAAATCAACTTGGAGTAGGAAGGAGATCAATCTTTCTCCATGGAGACAAAAAGGGAATTGTGTAAGATGAATGAATAGAGGAGGGAGTGTCTGCCAGGCTTGGTGCTGGCTGCCCCGTGCCTCCAGAGGATTTCATGGATGTGCCAACATGACTGGCACAGTCCTGCCTCAGTTCTGCTCAGATGAGCTTGGGGCCATCCTCTGGCTCTTTCCCTCATGTTCCTGTGGTGTTTGAGCAGACTTGGTGCTTCCAGCTGTCCCAGTCACAGGCCTGACAGTGGGACAGGGAATCTGCCCTGCCTCAGGTGAGAGTCTGGGGAGGTGCTGGTGCCTGAGCTCCATCTCACAATACAGGAGCTGTGCTGGGTGAGCAACACAGAGAAAAGGTGGGAAAAGATGAACCATGGATTAAAGTTACCAAAGGTCTGCTCTGGTCTGACTTTCACCTGGGATGAGAGTAAGAAGAAAGTTGCTGGGAAATAAGAGAGAAGGTGGGGATGCAGGGGAGTGCTGAATTTCTCTCTGGTCACAGCTTAACCTGAATCTTCAAACAGGGAAAGGGAAATAATTTCACTTCTCCCCAGATACAGCAGCCCCTCGTGAGTGATATGGGAATTCTGCAGGCACATCCTATTCCAAGAACACATTAGGATCCTTCCCACAGCCTTTAACCCTTAGGCTGGTTTAGAGGGGCTTTGCAGCCTTTCTGCCTTTGAAGGGTTGCAGGGAGAAATGCTGGGTTAAAAGGCACTGCAGGGACAGTGCAAATTAACATTCAAAGTTAATCCCTCCAGGACCCTGCAGTGCCTGGGGCTCTCAGATTGTTCTCTCAGGTGCTGGCAGCAGAGCAGAACCTGCAGTTGTCAATGCCTGCTGGTCATTTGATGCTGGATAATTTCAGGGAGCATCACCCAGGGGGAGTTGAGGGGAGATGTTGGTTGAACACTTCAGATCATAACACTCCATTTCCTCCTTCTGTTTTACTCCAGGTTGGATTCTTTCCCAGTGAATGTGTAGAACTCATCAACGACAAAGTCCCTCAGTCCGTGACCAATTCGGTGCCAAAACCAGGTGTGTAATCAGCTTTTCTTGATGCAGTGAACTGGACTGGAGTTCTCTTTGTGTGTTCTGTGTTTAATTCCTCCTTCACACGTGTCATGAGTGTTGATATCCCCTGCACATCCTCCTGCCCCTCTGTGTGTTGATCACCCACACGTTGCCCCTCTCTGGGGAGCTCCCACTGTTGAATGTCCTTCACCTGCTGCACAGACTTGTCTCAGTGTCCTCCTCCTGCCTGACTTGAAGGATTTAAGCCTGTCAGAATTTCAAGATACTTTGAGCAGTCTGTAAAGAGAGATTCCATGTAGCATCCCAGTTCTGGGTGATCAAGGGAGTGTCAGGATGTTTTATACAGAACATAGATGAGCAGGAGTGTTTTGTGCTGATCAGATAGAATAGATCACCTTGGTACTGGAAGGTTCTTTCTGCTTGAGGATAAATGGAGGAAGTTGGATATTACAGAATTGGAATTCTGGTTGCTTGTGCTCTGGGTGCATGGCTCCATCTGCTTCCTCCTGCCTTCTGGACAGTTCTGTGTTGTAGGAAAAACAGGCAAATTAATCCAAAGTTCTGCTGAAGGAAGGAATAATAAATAGAGAATGGGATTTTGGATCTGACTCTACTGTCAACCTTCCCATCCTTTCAGTGTGTTCTGGAAGTGATTGGCATTAGGTGTGCTGGCATAACTGAGATCTCTGTAAAATTTACTGGTGGGGAAGATGAAATTTTAAAGAAAATATCTCCATATTCATATAGGTAAAGATATTTCTATATATCTTTCATGTTGAGGAGTTTCAATGTGCTGTTCTTTCTTAGAATGTTAAGCAGCTGGGAAGAGAAGTTGGTGTTGAACTGGTGTTCTTCTCATTCCTCTTCTCTATTTTAATGATGTTCCTTATCTTGGCAGATTGCTGACTTGATACTTTTAAACAAATAGATTCAATTCAAAAGCTTGACATTTGCCAAGGGAAATATCAGCACTTTATCAGCTCAGAGCTCTGGGGTTTGGTGGAAAGCCATGGATACCCAAGCTGTGAGTGCTCTGCAGTGATCTGTGTGCTTTGGAGAGCTGGCAGGTCAGGGCAGGGCTGTCCTCAGCCATTGGCACTGCCAGCCTCTGACACTGCTGGGAATATGAATTGGAATCAGAGGCACAGAGATGAGCATTCCCTGGATCCAGGGCCTGCCTGTGCTCCATCAGCTAAAACAGGAAAGGCAACTTTCAGCCTAAACACAAGCAAATATTTATTGTTAAACGTGACTCAGGCCATTCAGTGTGCTGAGCTGCTGGGGAGCAGGGTCTGCTTTGGTGGGAGATAATGGAGCAGAATGGATGAGGGGATTCTGTTTGGCTTCAGCAACACCATGGGGGGAGGATTTCCCCCTTCAGCCCTGGGAAATGTTTGGTACAAAGCTGGCTCCAGAAGCCCATGTATCATGAAAAGCAATAAGTTGGAAGATATTGCCAAGTCACAGAGGTGTCCCCTGACCTTCCCTGATGGCTGTTCCATGGGTACATCAAAAGGCTCCTCTAGGAGAGCTCTAAGGATCTTTGAGATGTAAGGAATGCTGAAGCTGATTCTGTCATCCTGCCCCTCCTCTGCACACACAGTTCCTGGTGCCACTCCTTGGGTGCATTCTCTGTGCACCTTGGGAAGTGACAGCACTTGGATGAGGTTGGCAGGAGTCTGGAATTCCTTCTTGGATGCTGCAAAAGCTGCTGGGAGAGGAGCAGGGAGGAGGGTCCTGTAGTTAGGGAATGGTGGATGTGGTGCTGGAGGACTCCAGGAACTCTTGGCTGGATGAAAAGTGCTGTGTGAGATGGGTGACAGGAGGAAGGCAGGAAGGAGTTCCAGGTCCAGGTGTGCCAGCACAGCCCCAGGAGCTGGCAGGGGCAGGACTGAGGTGCTGCCAGAGGGGAAGCTGGCTCTTCCCAAGGGCACCCTGCAGGGATGGGAATGCCATTGCTGGGATAATGCACTTTGCTCGCCCTATTCCTGCACTTAGATACCCACATTAATTACTTTTCTCCCTGTACCTGTGTCCCCAAGGACCAGAGACTTTCCTAAAAGTCTCACATGGAGCTGTTGTCCTCACTTGACATTAGCAGGGTATTTCATCTTGAATTAATGTGAAGTTTTAGATTTGGCCTTGACGAGCTGCACTTATCAACAGGCCAACTTTGATTTCTTTAATCAAAATATGATGTGTGGAGCATCCAGGACATTGTGTATGTGCAGAGTAAAGCTCTTTGCCACGAAGGAATTTCCAAACACAGAACTCCTCGTGCTGCTTAATTGTCCCTGGGTCTGGCTGGGCTGAGGAACCTAATGAAAAGCAGATGGAACTTCCTGCCCTGGGTTTCTATTATTATTTATAATTAGAGGGTTTAATGTGCACACGGGATGGGGACAGCATTTTAATGGAGCCATAAAATATTGCAGTGGTCTTTAATGCAGGGCAGTGACTGCAGTTCCATGGAGATGAAACACAGGGAAGGGCAGAGGAGGGTTGGGTTTGAGGGCAAACTCTGCTTTTGGAAACAACATTTTCATGGACTGTGGCAGGATGTGCTTTGTACCAGCAGTGATGGAGCCAGGGCCTGGGATGAGTGATGGAAAATGGGAAAATATAGGAAAAACAGAAAAACAGAAAAACCATACAGAGAACTGGCTTTTTATTCTGTTCTGAACAGTCAGAGTCATGTGAAAGAATACCAGTTTTGCCCCAAGTCACCTCTCAAATATATTTGACAATAAAGTTTGGAGTCAGGAGAGGAAAGGTACCTGTTGAGAGGTATTTTCTCTCCAGTTTTGGACTAAGCCTGTGCCCTCTTTTTTTCATCTTCAGTCCTGTAGGAAAATGGGTTTTTTTCCCCAGCTGGGATGCAAATGCTTTCCTGACTGTTTCTATTTATGTAAAAAAACCTGTGAAGATCTAGGAAGGTTCTGTGAGCTCATAAAATCCCACATTTCTTGAGCACTTTCCTTTTCTCTAAATTCTCCCAGTATTCTTAGTGGGATACAATACACTAATGATAATTTTTTAGCCTAAAATATTCTATTGGTTTGATATCTACTATTTCATAGTTAATATTATCAATTTAGCTGAATTTCAGTGCCACAATAAATGGAATCAGCTTATATTCATGAGCATTTTAGAGATCCAGGATAAAGGCTGCATTTGAATTTCAGATCTTCAGGGAGAAGTGAATCTTTTAAATATTCAGTGCTGCTCAGAAGGAAAAGTGTGAATAGCTGCTCTGGATTTTCCTTCTAAGTGAACATTTGTGAAGTGCCTGAACTTTGTGCTGTGTTGACTCTTCTCGTCCCCCTCTGTCCATCCCTTTTTTGGGAACAGTGTCTTTATGTCCACGTGTGCTCATGCTGTCCCCACTCCTCAGTCACAGTCAGTGTCTCAGCTCTCTCTTTCAGTCCCTTTCTTCCTCAGAATTCTGGATATTCATAGTTTAGCAGTATTTTAACCTGTAGCTCACACCTTACCTCATACCTGCAGTTTGTTTTGTCTTTTCCTAACAAGCAGCATCTTCCTGTGACCCAACTTCACTGCAGTGGCCTTGGCAGGGTCATTCTGGGGAAGATTTTAGACTTGGTCTTTGCTGGGGAGCAGCTGCATTCAGTGGGGAAACACAGAATTAAGAAAAGAGGGACAGTTAGAGCTGAAGAGAACAAATGGGGGTAAGAAGGTAATATTTCACTTTTTTTTCCTCCCCCCAAAATAAGCATTTTTAAAGCCTCAGGGATCATTCTCACAAATAATGTAAAACCCAGCAGCTCTGCCCAACTTTATGGAGGAATTTTCAACTTTCTGTCTCATCCATTTAATTTATGTTTGAGAGGTGAAGGTGCTCTTATGGGACACACATTAAAACGTCCCGTGTCAGTATTGCAGGGTGTTGTGAATGATTAATTTTCTTTTTAAAACATCAATAACAGATTGATCCGCACACCCAATACAAATAATCCACTGAATTTTAGAAGGATTGAAATTTAGCTCTGGATCAGGCAACAGGCTCTGGTCAATGCTGGAGAAATTAATTTTAACTGCAAAAATGCAAATTGAGACACATTCACTGAGCTGTTGTAATCACAACAAGGCCATGCCTGGTTTGAAACAGGCTCATTTCTAATCCCTGGGTAAAAGAGATTGTGGTCAATATTTATTTTAATAGAAATCAGAAAGGAGAAGGTGCAAATAGAGCTTAAATTCTGCAGATGCCCAGGCTGAGCAGCCATTTGACACTGATAAGAGCATCATGTCTTAATTAGTGCTTTTATAAAGAAATCAGGGGAAGTGTACATAATTAGTACCAGTCTTGTTAATCTGAAGTAAACAAAGGAGTAGTTTGGTGTTCATGCCACTGTCTTGTTAAAGCTGAATTAAATGGAAAAGTGCTGAGCCAAGGCAGGTCTCCATTTGCAGGGGGAGGCAGAGAGGGGATGAGCACCCAGAGCTGCACAGCTGGAGCTGCTGATGAGACAGGAGCTGCTTCCAGCCCTGCCAGGCCTCAGGACCAAAATCCTGCAGGGAATCCTGATCCCTTGGGCACGGGGATGCAGGAGCAAAGGGCAGCAGGGGGAGAGTGCAAACTCCCTCCAGGAGAGTCCCTGTCCATGTCTGGGAGCTGCTGCAGGATCTCCCCAGCTCTGAGAGCCACCAGGAGCCAGCCAGCAGCTCCAGCAGGTCTGTGCCTGCTTGTGGGGTCCTTGGGCTGGAGGAGGCCCAGCACTGCCATGCTCACCTCCCTGTCCCCAAGGGCCACATCCCACACTTCTCCTTCCCTCCAGAACACAACTGTGGGGCTGGGGCAGAGCTGGGCCTGCCTCCTCTGCAGTGCAGGATTTTCAGGAGGAGCACAGCAGCAAAACACAGCTCTGAGACAATTATTCTGCTTTTTGCACAGGATTAAGAGTAAGAACAGCTTCTGCTTTAGTACCAGGAGAGAAGAAGGAAAATTCAGTATATAACAAAATTCAGTATATAACAAACCAGGTGCTGTTTGGCAGGACTGGGATGGGCCTTGTACTGAAAGGTCAAGCATGCAAAATGTTGGGGTGTTTTTTGAGCTGGGACACGGGGGGGAATTCCTGGATCCTCTGAATTTCCCAGGTGTTTAGCACCAAACAACTTGAAGGATTGGGTGTGTTGTATTGTGCTGTTGATAGCCCAGCTGAGCTTTGTGTGAAATGAGCCCATTTTCAGTGCAAACATATTTTAACCAGCTGCTTTTTGTTTTTGTTTTGCTTTTTTCCTTTTTTTATTTCTCCCTTCCCAGTCTCCCCTGCCCATGGAGCCCGTCCAGCGTCCTGGAGCTACTTCCCCCCTTGTATGTCTTCATTTATTCCTTTGTCTTTCTTTCATTCTTGCCTTGTTTCTCTGTCTCCTTTTTCTTTCCTTCTTCTTCTGTACATGCAGGTCAGTAGCACTGATGCCCTGAAGGATATTTAGGGGAAACCAAAACAAATCTTTGTTCTAAGGTGCTTTTAAAAAAGATATTTGGGCATAAAATAGTACAACAGAGAAAGAACAAAGCTGGTTATAGCTCTTTTCTGGGGGTGATAGAATAATTTTGAATCCATAAAAAGATTGAAAATATTAAAAAGAAAGAAATTAAGTGTCAGACAACCAAGCATGAATGTCAGTGTGAAAGAAACAGAAGATAAAAATGGATGATGGGGAGGAATTAAACATAGTTACTGAAGTTTGTTAGAACATGGCAACCTTCAGAAGCCAATTTTTTTTTTTTTTAATGAGGGAATGGTGTTTGTGCTAACATCTGACAATGCCCAAAGTGAACTAATATGTGGCTTGTTTATTCATAGTCCTGCTTCACGTTGCTGTGGTCTTTTTTAGATCCTGCTAGTGCTGGTCTGAACGTCACAGCAATAACCTGGTGTCAGTAAAACCTGGGATTGGTCATGTAGATTTGTCATTTTTACAGCAAATGCCTCACTTGCACAAATCACCTCCCCCTGGGATGTTGTTTGGATTCCCTAAGTCAGTCTGAAAGCTTGATATGCAAATACTGTAAAGAGACAATTATAAAATATATCATATTCATGGAAATGTACACAGATACATCCTCTGCCCACCCACCCACTGCCAGCCTGCTGGCACAGCCTGGAGAGGGGGAACAGGCAGTGCTCCCATTCCCAGGGCTCCCTCCAGCACAGGAAAACCTGGTCCTGCTGGGAAGAGGTGGTTTCTGAGCAGCTTCCTGAGCACATGCCAACACCTCCAGACCCTGCAGGCAGAAGGAATGTCCAGAGGGGGAGAGCAGGGGCTGTATATTGACAAATATTGACGTATTTGGGATATGCCATTGAGAGTGAGGTGAGGCTTCTTCCACTGCCCATGTCCAAACCCACAGGAGCCAGGGAATACTGAAACTGGGGTGGAGGTTTTAAGAATGAGGGCAGAATTTATTGCTGAGACTGGCCACATCCACTGATAAATAATCTGACAGAAAATTTGGGAGGAATCAGAATAGTGAATCTTGTAAGGTCCAGGGAGTTCCCTTTGGGCATACAAATATGGAGAAAAGATTTTTCTTCATGTTTTTCCATTTGTACAGTCAAGTTCCTTGGATCCCCGAGCCCTTCAGAGATGCATTTCCTGCCAAGGATCAGCAGCAGTTAAATTCAGAGAACACAGGGAGGCTTTAGCCTGTCTATTTTTTCAGGCAGACTTTTTTATTAGGTTTTTAACACAAGAAAAAGGAATGGCCACATTTCTGGTTATTTAATGCCAGTGGTCAGTGTTGAGTCCCCCTCCTCTCTCAGCTGTGAGAAGGAAGCTTCTGACAACAGAGCAGCTCTAATATTTCTGCTCAAAGCTATGAGGCTCATTAGTGGTTCTGCTTGTTTTTCCTGTGAAATTAATTCCTTGTGACAGCCCTGTCCCTCTGTGAGTCACAGAATTGCCACAGAGATGACAAACTTGGCTGTGGCTGCTCTGTGAGCACCACTGGAGAGCTGGGGAACCACATCCTCCCCTGGATGAGCACTCCTGGGCTCTGGGGCTGTTTTATATTATTTCTGTGTGCCACAGATCATGGCTTCCACTACCAGGAATTTAGAAATATTTGTGGTTTTTAGGTATGGGGGATTTGAGGTCCTGTTCAGGTTTTGCTGGGGCAAGGGGGAAGTTCCTTTCTGGGCTCATTTAGGCACTGAAGTTCTTTTTTGGGCTCATATAAACAAGCTGAGCTCTGGACAGGGAAGCAGGGGCTGGAGAGGGTTTTGTAACTGGGACAAAGTGCCCCTGACCACAAGCCCAAAATCTTTGGTCTCCCAGCCACAGCAAAGGCTGTTCCTCTGCAAGCTGTGCTGTGTTAAAAATCACTGATTTCTCCTCCAGCTTTTGCCAACATAAACTGACATATATTTTATATAATTTTTAGTACTCTTTAACAGTGAAAACTCTGCTTAGGGTGGTCTGTGCACAGCATCTCAGAATCCCAGACTGGTATGGGTTGGAAGGGAGCCTAAAGATCATCTGGTTCCACCTGCTGCCTTGGGCAGGGACTGGAATTGCAATTGGCCTGCACACACTGTGCTCACTGCTGAGCCAGCTCCAAGCCCAGTTGTTCAGGCCCCAGCACCACCCACTTCATCCCCAGCTCAGTTTTCCAGGGATTTGGGTGTTCACTCAGCTTAGTTCAGCTCTGCCCATGGTTTTTGCTGTTCACTCTGTGAGTTCAGTGGATCAACTCCCTCACAATGTCTGCTCCTGCTTGCACACAGACATTGATGGGCAGGAACAATTCAGGCCTAGAACAGCCCAGAGAAGCTCAGCTCTGCATGCCCAGCACTGAACTCTGGATTTTTCCAGCTCTGTCTCTCTAACTGCTGTCTCTCCACGCTGAATTGTTGGTCTCCTGCAGTCCCCTCTAGGAGATTTTTAACCTTGTCCTCTCTCTTGCCTTCTGTCTGTCCCTGTGCCCCCTCCCCTGATTATCAGATTTGGAGATGGATAGTGTAAAGCCAGGCTCTGCATTTGTTACCGAGGCTCTGAACCAGTCCCACCTGAGCTCAGGTAGAGCCTGTTCTGTGCCATCACTCTCTGTCCTAACCACCTCTAACCCTGTATGTGGTAGCAATAACCACTCACTAACCCCTAGGCTTGCTGGCAGAACCTAGCTGTAGTGTCATAAGTAGTGAAATAGAGATTTATTAATTTCTTTTTATATTAAAAACTGTTGGGTAGAAAAGCCAGTGCCTGGTTCTGAGAACCACCTTCTGAGGGGCAGATTTTCTGCATGTGCTCTCCAGACCCAGTGAGTGAATCCAGATCTTAAGGTGCTGCTCAGCACACCTGGGCCTTGCCTTGTGCACACTCTGCAGTATCAGCTGCCATGGGTGTTAATCTGTGTATCAGAAATCAGCTTCTTTTCTCCCCCAACTGCTGCATTTCTAAATATAAAGTGTTCTTCTTTTTCCCAGGCTTTCAATTGTGCCTCCCTCACTATCCGAAGAGTTTGCCAAACCCTCTGTGACCATGGTCTGGAGGGAAGACCTTGCTTAAATAAGAGAGGGAAGAAATGTGGTTAAATATATAGTTTTATGGCAATGGAAACAACCCTCCTGTGTGCCCAGTGCACTGTGAGAGCAGAAAACAACTGTGTTGTGTTGTCATTGCCATGACAACGTGGCTGTCTCTTGGCAGAACTGGCACTAGGTGAAATTAAAGTGTTCCAGTGGAACTGAGGAGCTGAGATGTGTCCCTGGTACATTTTATGTAATTAAACATTTGATCCTCAGTTATTGAAAGGTATTTGACAACAGACATTCCCATTTATTTGCTTGTTGTGTTAAGTCATACCTGGACTTCTGTTTCCCTGGATCTCATAAGTGCTTGGAAATAGACTGTAGGTGGGATTTTGGGAGAGCAGAGCAGCAATGTGTGGGAGCTTCATTTCTAGGCAGGGCTTGGCACCAAGGCCAATGGCAGAGTTCTTGCCCAGGCTTCAGACAACGTTGTCCCGTGTCCCTCTGTTTCACCCAGTCCCTTGGGATTGGGGTTGAACTGTACCTTCCTAGAGGTCATCCCAGGGTGAACAGGTTATTATTGGATATTTGATATCAAAGCAATGCTGATAAATACAGCCAGTCAAAGCTCATTTCAGTCCTGCTCTCCACAAAACCATGGAATCATGGAATCCCCTGAGCTGGACTCACAAGGATCATCCAGTTCCACTCCTGGCCCTGCACAGACACCCCAGCAATCCCACCTTGTGCCTGAGAGTGTTCTCCAAACACTCCTGGAGCTCTGGCAGCCTCGGGGCTGTGACCATTCTGGGCAGAGGAGGAACCTTTCCTGACACCCAACAGCACTGATAGAACATTTCAGTTTATGAAGGAGCCAGTGTTGGTGCAATTCGGTGACTGAAGTGCTTGGTAAGTGCCAGGCCTCTCTTCTAATTGTATTTGAACTGACTGCAATTCTTCTTGTGGTTTAGGTGTAAAGCTCTGCTTCTGCTGCAGTCCTTGTCTGGATGCCCATTGTTCCTTCTCCAGTCATCAGAGGAGGATTTATTTTTAAACTAGGATTTAGGGCTTTATTTCACTCCCATCAGAAGTGCTGAAAGCTTGCTTTAAAAAAATATTATTTTGCTGGTAGTGTGGATCTTGGATACATTAGGAATGTCCATCTTCACCTTCAATAATTGTGTTGTTTTGCTGGATTTCAGTGCACTGAGCTCTGGAAAGTGCTTATTTACCCTGAATTGCTCCCAGTAATTACCTGGTTTCAGGAGAAGGGGATTTATAGCAGGCTCTGCTCTGGACTATAAGACTGTTTAGTCCTTTTAGGTCTTTAACTTTTAGGTCTGTACTGCAGATCAGAACTGCAGCAGCATTTTTCTGAGTTTTTAATTTAATTTCTCTTTCTCTTTGCCATCCTTCCCTTGTTTTAAGTCATTCGTCTTTTGTTCCTTCCCATTTTTTGGCAGAAAGGGATGAGAGCTGTGGGCTGATCTGTGGAAGTGCTGCTAAATACAGGATTCATCTGGTCCTCTATGAAATTTGCACCATAAAATCTGAGATCCTGCTGGAAAAGTAGGAGTTGGAGAGAACAGCTTCCTGAGCCTGTGTGCTGGGAACAGACATGGCAAAAATTCAGTGTTCCTTGGGCAGGCAGGAGTTGGATGGAGGAGTATCCCAAAAGCAGCAGCAGCAGCAGCAGCTCAGTCCTGCCTGGCATGAGGAGTTGCTCACAGCCCTCTCTGGGGGACTGGATTTGGAGAAAGTCCTGCTGTGCTTCAGCCAGCCAGGCAGCACCCCTGTGTTGTTCTGCTGCTCCAGCAGTAGTTTGGGAGAAGCCACCAGCAGGGCTCTGGATCTGGGGCTGCTGCTGCACTCCCTTTCCCCACAGGGCCCAGGATGCTCTTGGCATTCCCAGTTGTGGGCTGAAGCTGTGAATGATCTTCTAACTGTCCCATTTCCCTTTTGCAAGGGGCCAGGGCTTGGATGTTCCTCTAGACCTGCATGAAAATCCACCTGAGGGTTCTCCACAGTGTACCATGGTAAGACTTGCAGGCACACAGGATGGCAGGGGATTGCAGTTTGGGGAGTACTCCACCAAACTGGGACAGCTGGTGGATTTACAAGGAGCAGGTTTTAGAGTTAAAAAGTGTCAAATATTCTTTCTACACCTTCTGCCTATGGGGACATGTTTTTATTTGTAACTTGCTTTTGCCTTCAGTGGCAAATCTGAAACACTTTTCCTAAACAAAATCTCTAAACCTTGGCTAACTCCTAAGTGAGAGATGAGCAGGAATTGTATTTCACAAAGTTCCTAAGGATGCAGAGCATTTGGGAGTTAATGTATTTCTCCTTTCTCCATAATCCTTTAATCCTTTAACAGTGCAGATGTTTCTGACAATGGCAGTGAGAGCCAGGAGTGCACTCTGGCAGTGCTTCAGGAGCACCCCTGGCTGTTCCATGCCCCCACATTGAGGAGTTTTAGATGATGTTTATGCAGTATTTGCAGTGAGAACAAATCCATGTTTCTGTGACATTTCCTGGGTGCTATGGAAACTGTCTGGGTGGTTCTCAGCAAATTCTGAGTGAGTTGGTGGACATTTTCTTCAAGAGGCTTGGATTTCAAAGCCTGGAGTAGAAGAGCAGGATTTGGGGATGACTGTTATGTCTGGAGGGCACAGGGGAAGCTGGGGCAGGGCAGGAGATCCATCCTTTGGAGACAAGCTGGACTGAAACAAAAGGGACCCTCAGGCTCAGGGACCCAGGAGCAGGAGGAAGGTACCCTTTGGTCCTGCTGCTTCACTCATATCTTCTTTTCTTTTTTAGCTGAACTCAGAGAGAGTTTTCTATTCTATGAAAGCCTTTCTGGAGCCCTCCCAGCCCCAAGGGAGTGGATCCTGTGTCCCCTCAGAAAATGCCATGAGTGCAAAGCCAGTGGTCCCAGGACAGTTGGTGGACACCAGTGTTGTCCTGTGGGACCACTAGGTGCAGGCTGAGCCTGGGCATGCTCCAGGGACTTTCTGCCTTCTCTGAACAATCCCAGTGAGGCAAAGGTGGAGGTGTCAGTGAATGAGCCTCTGTGTCCAGCCCCCAAATTTGCATTCAGGTTTTTCCCTGGCATAGCTGAGTCTCCTGGAAGTATGGAAAAGATCTCACACAGAGCTGGCACAAAAAACCCCATCCCTGCCCACCCCAACCCCCTGCCAGGGTCCAGGCTCCTGGCTTAGGAGCCCTTTAGCAGCTTGGAGAGGAGCAAGGGGAGCAGCAGAGCTCTGCCAATTGAGGAGCATTGTCTGCTCATGCCAGCATATCCTACATCCCCACTGGGAGGCACTACTGGTGTAATTACAATGATGGAAATCAGCCTCCAGGCACAGGGAAATGCCTGGAACGAAGGTAGAGGGAAGAGCCAGATTCATTCCTGTGTTCCCTATCAGGCAGTTTGTCCTTGAGTGTGGTCACTGAGGCTTTGGAAAGAAGCTAAGCCCATAAACAGCAGCTTCAGGCATCTCACACTTTGACAGATAATTTTGTGGTGAGCCTTGACCATGTTTCCTGGGGAATTTTAATTGGAAAAGGAAAGGAACAAGCATAGTGTGTGAATCTGTGCACAGTCCGTGCACATCAGTTCATGAATAATGACATTCATCTGTGTTCTGTGCAGGTAAGAAAGATCTGTGCTGATGTTTGTTATGAAAATATTCCTGGTGTTTGAGAGGCTGGATCCCCCAGAATAGGCTGAGTACTGTGAAGCAGAGCAGTGAAGCTTGGCCAAGTACAGGGTGTTGGAGGCACCAATGTGCTTTAATAAGGCCACTTCCCTTTTCACTTGTTCTGTGCTGCTTTCTCACTCTGCCTGCTCTCCACTTACTCAGGTTGGGGGGGGCTGTTATTTTTAAACAAGTTGGTTTTTTCCTTTCTCACAAGCTCTGTCAAAATGGGACTTAACTGTAGTCATAGTTGGCTTAGCAAAACTCTGCAGTTATGCTAAAAGCTCTGAAATAATGTCAAGAGGCAGTTTTTTCTGCTCTGCTTTTCCTCTTCTTTTCTCCTGAATAATTCTGTAAATTAGTGTGGGAGCCAGACTGTGGCTTGAAAATACTTCAGGCAGTTTTAACCATAAACGATGGCACAAAGCTCTGATCTCTTCCTGGCCTGTGGATTTATCAAGGGTTGTGCCAGTGCATAGCTCAACTCTCCCATTAAAACTGGTCCTGGGAAGCTCACAAAGGCTGAGCAGCTGCACCACCACCCCTCTGTGCACAGAGACTTCGTAAATGGAGTAGTTGGAATATTTTTGTTGCAAGGCATGGCAGACCATGGCTCCATCCACCAAAGCCTCGGTCACCACATGAGAGAGCTGTGGCTCTCTGGAAGTGTCCAAGGCCAGGTTGGACAGGGCTTGGAGCAGCCTGGGACAGTGGAAGGTGTCCCTGCCATGGCAGGGGTGGGACTGAATGAACTTTAGGGTCCCTTCCAACCCATTCTGGGATTTGATGATTCCATACTCTGTGACATGAGATACCTGCATGTCAAACCTGGTTGCTGACAGCT